TTGAAATTGAAGTTATTCTCAACTTGTGTATTCCTAGGAAATATATATTAAATGATAAATGTGTAAATTTTGACAAAATAGAGCTTTTTGTCTTTTGTGACGCCAGCCTCAAGGGAATGGAGCTGTTGCATGTCTTTTGTGCTTTCAAAAAACCATGTATCCCCACTTAAAAAATATGGCCCACCAGCGGCCGAGCGGTAAAGTCGCTGAACACTGGTAGTTCTGTCCGAGGTTCGAATCCCGCGAACGGGCTGGCTGCATGGGTGTTTTCGTTGCTTTCCCCATGTGTAACATGTATACGAGCCAGTTTCCCTTAGAAAGTCCTCCACGAAGGCATCCCTCCCGTTAGGCAGATAGCCCCAGTGTGCTTTGCCATAATTAAATACACCAACACACCAACACCACTTAAAAAATTAACCTTGCCTCGTTTAGAACTTATGGGAGCCATTATTGCCGCAAAAATAGTTAAATATTTAAGGAAGTTGTTTGATATCCAAGCAGATAATGTATTTTGTTTTAGTGACTCTAAAATCGTTCTTCACTGGATCACAGGTACCGCTAATAAATGGAAACCCTCTGTTGCTAATCGTGTACGTGAAATACAAGATCTTGTATCACCTTCGCAATGGAAATACTGTGAGGGAAACGAAAATCCGGCTGACATAGTTTCACGTGGATTAAGAGCTTCTGATATACTGGGAAATAAACTTTGGTTCAATGGATCAGTGTGGTTGAAATCATTGCAAATCAAATGAAATTCAAATAAAAATAAAAAGCACACAAAAGACTAAATTTCTGTCCCAACGGTTAATGATTTAGTTTCAGGTACTAAAGTTATGAAACCTGCTTGTGTATTTTCTAGCAAAACCTATCATTATCAAGGCTGCTTTAAAGGCCATATCTTTTGAGGGAAAAAAGGATATTTTATGTAAAAATACAGCCTGTTTTAGAATCGGGAACAAGAAGTTCTTCTAAAAACTATGGTTGTGTCCATTGAAGCAAATGGGAAGAGAAGAACTGTAAGAGCTTGATTAACACGGGATAACGGAAATCGTATATTCTTAAAGCTACCATGAAACAAATGGGGGCGACTGCTGAAAGAAATGAAACTTTGACATATGTTGTGTTCGAAGGTATTAGCTCCAGAAAGCAACATAAATGCTACAAAGTATCGGTTAGTAATTTAAAGAAGAATTACTCCTGTGAAATCTAAGTTCTGGACCAGCAAGTTATTTGTGGGCACATTCCTAGTGTTCAAGAAGGACCCTGGATAGTTGAATTACTGGATAGGCATCAGTCCTATTGATGTAGGAAAAGACTCACTACCTATAGAACTTTTAATTGGAGCTCACTGTGCTGGAAGTCTTACGCCGGGAACGTTTTCCACTTATGACCTGGTCTTGTAGCAGTACAGACACTACATATCTGGATTGTTATCGGTAAGATAAACAACTGCATTTCATCTCAAAGAACTTCATCTTTGATAACCGGTATGCTAATTAATCCATATCAATATTTTAGAGAATTTATGGAAATTAGATGATTTACGAATAACTGTTCCCCGTTAAAGCAAATATAGTATAGAACTGAAAATGGCTGTATTAGATCACTTTCATAGGACCTTGAGAAAAAATGACGATGGTAGATATGAAGTCAGTTTGCTATGGGTCGATAATCGAGATCAGTCAATTTAATTAATTTACCAGGCAATAAAGACACTGCTGAAAAATTACTGCTCTCAATCACAAAGAAACTTAAATTAGAAGAAAAATTTTAAGACTATAATGAAGTAACCAAGGTTGTGTGCAATGGGAAGTGAACAAAGAAGTGCCAAATGATGAAGAAAAGAGGAAAATACATACCTTCCACAACCACCAGTATTTAAAGAAACTTTCTCAAAACTGATTAGAGCAATATTTCACAGATCTTGTAAGAAGAAAACATTTTCCTTCCTGAATGACTCCTTAGCAAAAAGGCCAAATGGTCTAGAGTACTTTCAGAAATATTGCTTAAATTTAGAGAAAAGAGGAGAGGCATTATTTCAGATGTAAGGAAAGTGTTCTTACAAATTTCCGTGGATCCAGATGACAGAGATTTTCTAAGGTTTCTCTGGTGGAAGGGTACTGAACAGTTAGAAGTCAAAGAATTTCGCCAGTGCCCTGTGGTATTTGGGCTAAAATACACTACTTTTTTTTTCAAGCTGTGACTAATTCACATTTGAAGCAGTATCAGCCGCTCATAAAAGTATCGCTTAGAAGCATAAAGCTTCCTTTTATATTGAAAATTGTGTGACTTCGGTTGATTATAAAGAAGTTGCAAGTTTTTTTTTTTAATCCAAGAGGCAACCGATATCATGGCAAGTGCACTTTTCGATTTAAGAGGATGTCAGAAAATAGAAACAAAAGGGATTTATAATGAATCTAAGCCTTTAAAAGTAATAGGATTATTGTGGAATAAACAGCTTATGGAGATATGGTATGATCCATTCAGAAAATTTCCCCCTGTTGTCATCTTCATCAAATGAAGAGGACTCGAAAGCAAAAGAAGAAGGAGGCAACCGTTCTTTGTCTGATCAATTTCTTCTTGCCTTGTCAATGAACTAAAAAGTTGTCACAAGAAGTGGAAACAGTATTTACTTTGTAGATTTCTGGAATGAACTTTGAATTTTTAAACTGAACTTTATGCATGTTTTGATTACTAATTGCATATTATTAATCAAAAGGTGGGAGGATTGTCGGAAAATTACTTCACCGTAAGATAGCCACAAAATAAATCTGCCAACAAGTGTAAAGAAATAATTTTCTTGTTGCAACTGACATCAATGTTTATATTTAGAATATGTTTAGAATGTTTATTTTGGTTTTAAAGAATAAGCTCATACATAAAAATTCTAAGGAGAAAGTAGATTAATATTATATCTATTCCTAAAAATAATTACTTACAAGTGTACAAAAAGGACTTCCCAATTATGAACTTTAAAGTTTTCTTAAAATGATTAAATTAAAATTGTTTTTTTCTTTCTTCCTACTTACTTAGATGTGCACAATACTCAGCATCTGCAGCTTTTAGCGCATTGTTATAGCTTCAATAATTTCAATGTTTTATCAAAAATTGTTCTTCATTTTTTTTTTCAAGAAACTTGAACTTTTCACTGGAAGGAAGTATATAGTTGATTCTACAGATTCGAAAAGTAAGCCAGTAAGTTAACTGCTAAATTTTTATCGATGAAACAGAAATAAATAAATTACAAAGAAGTGAAGCTGTTTATCAGCAGAGGCAAAAATTCCTCTAAGAATTAGCCATTCTTTAAGAAACTTTTTCTTTCGCTAGTTGTAGATCAAGAAAATACCCGCACAAAGTTCCGGCATGCGAAGCATTGCAATTTATCTTTTAAAATTAAGCTCACCAGCGGCCGAGGGTTAAATTTGTTGAACATTGGTAGTTCGGTACGGGGCTCTAATCCCGGGAACGGGGTTGGCTGCATGGGCGTTTACGTAGTTTTCCTCGTGTGTAACGGTGTACCAGCCAATTCCCTTTAGAAAGTTCTCAACGAAGGCTTTGCCATAATCAGAATAAACTTTACCAAACATTTGAAATTAATTATAACAAACATTTTTATGCTTTTATTATGTTGCCTCATTTTTCATCACTTCATTGCAAACTGCTGTCACATTTTTGCAAATATTTTTCTCAAACTGCAGTTGTCTTTATTTCAATATGCAGTCAAGTCATTTTAACTAACTTCCAAATTATTAGTACAACCCTTTGAAAATTTGGAAAGTCACCAAATTGCGCTCTGTTGCCGAATTTCTTTAGTTTTTACAAGTTTTATCTGCTTGTTTATGCAATATTAGTAGTTAAATTTTCACTATTATGTATTTCTAGATGAGCACATTCATATACATTTTATCAAAAAATTCTCTCATGTGATGTAATGTGCAAAAGAAATTGAAGTTCGATATAATCTTGGTAACAGCTATTAGGATTAAGGATGTTCCGATCTTTAACTACCAACCAAGTAGTAACCAGCCAAGTAGTAATGTCTCTGAATACCGGTAGTTCGATATAGGTTCGACTCCAGACGAACGGCTGTCTAGATCAGGGTTTCTTAAACTTTTCTCAGTCGCGACCCCTTTTTATCACTGAGATTTTTTCGTGACCCCCAGGACCTCATAATATTTACAAAAATTTTGTGGGACCCCATAAGTATCGCGCAAATCCGACACACACGTGAGTGAAACAGTCAATTTTTTCACTTGCACTGTAATACGCTATTGCAGGTTTAGGTCATTAACTTTAATTTCTAATTTTAAGACATAGAACAATGTGAAAATTTTAAACAAGTAACTGACGAAATGACAGCGTCACGTGCAAAGCAAGGAAAAGGACGTTTATATTATAAAAAGAATACGTCGAAACGTTTTCATTTTTTCTTTGTCTGTATTGTCTTATCTTTATCTATTTTCAGACACATTCTGTAAAAATATATAGTAACTGTAAAATTATTATAACAAGTTAAAGAAATATAGAAACTGCTAAAATGTTTGGCGACCCCCTTGAAGTCAGTTTAAGAAACCCCGGTCTAGATGAACGTTCCGCTTTGTTTTTCTTCATGTGTAACGTGGCTACAAGCCCTTACAAAATCCTCCACGAAAGCACCACTTAGGCAGATAGCCCTGGAATTTTTTACCATACCCAAATAAACCAACCGATCCTTAATTCCATAACTATTTAGTTTCCTCTTTTCGCTAGTACAGAATAATTATAATCCTTACTTCTTTATTAGGTTGTAATTCTCAGTAACTTTAACGAAGTCTACTTAATCTTTGATTGTATATCTGATTATACATCACTTAATAATAATGTCAAGAACTTGAAGTTCATGAAAAAAATATTTCTTTCCAAATGTTTTATTTTTAAAATGTGGAAATTTTCTATTTTTTCATAAATTTTGCGAAAAGGTTAATAATTTTTTTCATTTTAGCAAAATATTATTACAGGTTTGCGTTTGATTTTACATGTGACACATCCACAAAAAGTGGACCTCTTAAGCGATGAGATAGGAGCACGAGTGGTTATACATGATCCGTACGATCTTCCGTTTGTGGAGGAGCATGGCTTCAACGTGAGACCCAATGATATGTCAGCAGTCGGAGTCACTTTGACTGTGATTGAGAGACTGGGACCACCTTGGGGATCCTGTGTAGAGGATGACAGCTATCTTGGCTTCAAACAAGATGTCAAACCATATTCTATAATGGTAAAAAAAGCTATTTCTGGAAATAGATTTCGAATAGATCAAAATTTAAGCATAGAACTTAAAATGTAATTTGCTAATGAGTTTTTCAAAAGATTTTCATTTTATCTTTCTAAAACAGCACGCGTACAGGATGATTCCAAACTCTCTGTTCAGATTTTAGTAGAAGACAGAGAGTTCTTAAAATAACACGTATTATTTACACTAGAATCTAGGATCACGACCGTCAGTCCCCGAACAATTGGTTCACGAACAAATTATTTGAACAAGAAATATTCCGGAATGCGAACAGTGTCTCAAGTTATGAACACTTAAGTCGGTGACACTTGGTTTTCAAAAATTAAAAAAGTATTTCTTAAAAAATACATAACCTAAAAAGGTATTTCTAAAAATAGAGAGAAAAACATATAGCAGAGCAAAAATACGATGCTTTTATTGGAATTACAAACTATAGCTATTTTTTGAACGACAGTATCGCGAAGCACGATCTCCTGATGACGACAACACTCACTGTTGCCAGAACTTATCTAAACTATATATTATATTATTATTATTTTTATTAACATACTTTAATACTTCCCCTCGTAAAAAAAATAATAATAAATTAAAAGAAAAAAGTCACAAAAGTCCCATCTTATCACAAAGAATTAACAGTCTCGGTTTAAATAAAGGTTTAGTCATTATGTCAGCAACTTGTGCCTCTGTAGGTACCTGCTGCACAATGATTTCCTTTTCTAGAACTTTCTCTCGTATGAAAAAGTGCTTGATATCAATGTGTTTTGTGCGTCGATGAAACTCCGGGTTTTGTGACAGTCTCACTGCAGCGACGTTGTCTACTTGAATTACTGGAGTTTCACGTAACTTGGTTACATGACTAAATAGTCGCTTTAACCAAATTACTTCTCTAGAACATTCACTAGCTGCAATTACTTCTGCTTCAGTCGTCGAAGTTGCAACAACTGATTGCCTTTGGCTAATCCATGATATAGCTCCACCACTAAATAATATCACTACTCCACTCGTTGATTTTCCTGTTTCTTGACAGCCTCCAAAATCTGCATCACTATAGCATTCTAGAATTCCTGGTTTGTATTTATTCTTGTATGTAACACCTTTAGTTAGCATCAACCTGCTATGTATCTGAATACACGTTTCACTTTTTTCCAATCATCTTTCGAAGGATTTTCTAGGTAACGTGATAGAATGCCAACACAGTAAGCTAAATCTGGTCTTGTGCCTAACATAAAATACATTAAAGCTCCTACAGCTTCTCTATAAGGAAAAATTTCTCTGTTTGATTTATATTCCTTTTTCTTTTCAGTTAGATCTTCCTTCAGGATAGGAATTGACACTGGCTTGCAATCTTCCATCACAAATTTTTGAAGAATTTTTCTTGCATAAGCTTGCTGACTAATTTTAATACTTCCATTTTCAAGATGTTTAATTTCAAGTCCAAGAAAGTATACTCCTGGTTTAGTTGTGATTCTGAATCTCGACTTCAATTCTCTGAGAAATTTTTCAGATTCTTAGATTCTTGTAGATCTGTTGATGCTACTAAACCATCATGTACATATAAACATACGATTAGCTTCTTGCCGTTATTGTTTCTTATATATAAGCATGGATCAGCTTCACTTATCTTGAAGCCCAGCTGTGACACAAAATCTCCAAAATATTTATTCCAGCAGCGTGATGATTGTTTAAGTCCATACAAACTGCGTTTCAACTTACAGACTTTCTTCGAACCGTCACTATATCCTTCTGGTTGCTGCATGTATATAGATTCTTCAAGTTTTCCATATAAGAATGCTGAACCGACATCAAACTGAGAAAGATGCATTTTCTCATTGGCTGCGATGCTCAAAACTGAACGAATAAATAGTTCCTAACTTTGTTACTGGACTAAACGTTTGATCATAATCAACTCCAAAACGTTGAGTACATCCTTTGGCAATAAGTCTAGCCTTGAATTTATCAATAGATCCATCAGGATTCCTTTTGATCTTATAAACCCACTTGCATGATATAGCTTTAGAATCTTTTGGTAATTTTTCTAAACTCCATGTTTCATTCTCTATCAATGATTTCATCTCTGAATTCATAGCTTCTTTCCAATTAACACTTTGCTTATAGTTGATAGCTTCTTCATAAGACTCGGGCTCTTCAGAATCAATAATAAAAGCTTCACTTATAATTATATAATCTTCAAAACGCTTTGGCTTTCTCAAGTCAGCTCTATCTCTTAGGTATCTTGACTGTGCATTATTTTGCAAATTAATATCTTCATATTCTTGTCTTTCAAAATGTTCTTCTGATATAATTCTAGATATTTCTTTGTTGTATTCTTTTTCTGAATTATCTTCTTCAAAAGAAAACTTTTCTGACTTATCTTTTTCTGAATTTTGTTGATGTTCAGAGCCAGAAATTAGGCTATCTTGATCTTGAATAGGCAAACTGCACCCTTTCTTCACAATTTGTGAGCTTTTCGTTAAATATAATATCCCGTGAACAGATCACACTATTGGTTTCTTTGATCCATAGTCGGTATCTTTCGTCTCCATCATAACCAATTAAATAAGCTTTTGTAGCCTTATTATCCATTTTCCTTCTTCTTTGTTTAGGAATATGGGCATAACACACAGATCCTACTATACGAAGATGCTTAATTCGAGGTTTCTTTTTAAACCATGACTCATAAGGACTCATGCCTTCTACTGATGATTTGCCAGTTCTGTTTAGTACATATATGGCAGTGTTGACTAGTTCAGCCCACATTGCTGCAGGAAAATGAGCTTCAGAATTTGAGTACTTAAATGTTCTTGCCATTTCGATTATTGTACGTATGTCTCTTTCACTAGAGCCATTTTGTTCAGGAGAATAAGGTGCTGTTAGTCTTTGAGTTATACCTTCAGAATGCAAAATAGCACGCACTTTGTCATTGTCAAACTCGCCTCCATTATCGCTGAGAAATTCTTTGACTGAATGTCCTAAGATTTTAGCGTGTGCAAGCATGTGTTGTAACATATTTACAACAGCAGATTTTTCCTTGATAAAATACCCATAACGAAACTTTGTGTAGCTATCTTTAAACACAACTAAGTATCTTTTCTTCTGGAAAGATTCATCAAAAGGTCCACAGACATCAGCTGAAATTAATTCACCAGGCTTGCTGGCTGGCTTTCTTATGCCAAATGGTAAACGGTGTGCTTTGCCAAAAATGCATGGTTCACACAATTTTCTTTCAAATGGGATTTTAATTCCTAATTCTTTCTCAAGCATGTTCTTAATGTGATGTCCCCATCTCTGATGATATAACTCTAACAAGGAATTGTCTGCTTCAGCAGCATGCACTTCTATAATTTTATCAGGCATAATAGGTTCGATAGCTGCCTTGTATAAAGTACCATATACTTTGCGAGTTCCAAAAGCACTACTTGACCATTAACCTTTAACCAGCATTCTGTAACTGTTGAAATAAATTTACTATTCGTATTTCTATCTTGAGCATCAAGTAAAGAAAATAAATTTCTGTTTATCTCAGGGACATACCAAACATCTTTAAGGTAAATTCTTTGGATTTTACTACCAATAGTTGTTTTGACACATACTGTACCTTTACCAAGAGCAACTAAAGTTTCTTTTCCAGCATCCGTGATACTACAGGGACTATCAAACTTCATAAAGTCAATAAAGTATGTGAAACAATTCATGATATGTCTTGTAGCTCCACTATCAATCCAAAAATATGTTTGATCAGTCTTAGCCTCTTCGTCAATGGACGTCAGTATTACACTGCCTGTATTTCCTTCATTGGTTTTCGCTAACCTATTCTTGGGTGGTCTTCCATCAGCAATCCATTGTTTACAATATTTTACCCAGTGTCCTTTCTTTTTGCAATAATTGCAAATATCTTCTTTTCTTGGTTTTGTTCTAAATTTGTCTTTTTTATATTGCTTTTGATTTTCAGATTTTGACATTACTAATGCCACTTGTTCATTCGTATTGCCTTTCTCATGACTTTTAAATTCTTTTTCATGGGAGCAAAGCTGTGCTGTTAACTCATCAACTGTTCTTTTGTCTTCACCCAAGAGTAACCAACTTGACTTAAACAAATGGTATTGTCCTGGTAAGACATCTAAAATCTTGCAATTGAGTAGCATGTCAGGTAACTTATTTTCATTTTTCTTTTCAAGTCCTGAATTCAACTCATTCCATAAGTTTTTTAATTTGGAAAGATGAGCTGCCATATTATCATTTTCATTCCACTTGAATTGAAAAAATTGCATGCATATATTATACAATTGATTTTCTGATGATGCTTCAAATAACTTATGTAATTCCAACCACACTTCTCTAGCAGTCTGAAATCTCATAACTTTTTTCAGAGTTTCTTCCGTCATGGAATTCGTTAATACCATCCATCATAGCACTAATGTTTGCAATTTGAAACTTCTTAACAGCTTCATTATATTTCTCTTGTTGAGCAATCGGGGCATCTACAGGAAGAATTTCTGGTTTATAGTTCCTTCTACAATTTCTAAAGCACCAGTAGATAATTTAAAACAAATTCTATCCTGTATTTTCATATAAGCCAATCGCATTCACATGATAAAGGCTTTACTTGGACCTTAGATAATTCCATACTCTGATTTCTAAACAACTTTCGATTGCTATAACGAAAACAAAACACTTACTTGATTAGGCTTAACGAGTTCCGTTTCTTCGAGAAAACATCAATTCAAAACATTTGACGCAATATGGGAGCTTGCTTGACCCATAACCTAAAAAAGTATTTCTTAAAAAATACATAACCTAAAAAGGTATATTTCTAAAAATAGAGAGAAAAACAAATAGCAGAGCAAAAATACGATGCTTTTATTGGAATTACAAAACTATAGCTATTTTTTGAACGACAGTATCGCGAAGCACGATCTCCTGATGACGACAACACTCACTGTTGCCAGAACTTATCTAAACTATATATTATATTATTATTATTTTTA